GCATTTCCTGCCAGATGGACATTTTATGACCAGAGGAATGGCCAAGCTTCATCTGCACTTCAAGGGAGCACCCTGACGCCAAGTTTTCACACTTGCCCAGATGCCCTCCTTTGAGTTAGGTCTTAGGTTACAATATTGTCCAACCCTCTAGGTAACCACCCCTCACTACATGCAACCAATAGGATTAGTTTTCGGATGGACTAACAGGTAGGTGGGTCAAGAGGTTGGCATAGTTACCTCCCATCCAAAGGACCACCTATAAAAGGTTGGGACCATTCACCTGGCCCTTCCTAGCTAGCATTCTCCGCAACAACCCCTGTCTGCTTTATACTCCCCTTTTGTCCAGCTTGCTATACCCAAACCCTTGCCTCTACTTTGATCTCTTGATCTGCAGTCAGGAGACCCACACGTGCTGGCTGGTTCTAGTCGTGTGTTAACTTCCCTAGAGTTCTATTTCTTTCCATCCATTCTTCATTGGAACAAACAAGCTTCAGGACAGATAAGTATCACCCCTCATCACCCCATCTCCTAATCCAAACTTACTTATTTTAATACTGTATTTCTAAGGAGCTTGATTGTATGTGCGAGCACATCAGTATTTTTTGTATGTGATTTATATTCTTAAGTAAAAGACATTTATTTCAAACAACACCAGCCTCGACTCCCTCTCTGGTAACCCTCCGTGGGAACAGGACCTTGGTATAGTTGGCAAGCACCCAGTTTAAAATTTGCCAATTGCTGTAGATAAAGCAATTCGGCTAACAAAGCGTTTTGCGTTTGTGCGCATGTGCAGTTCTGCAAAGCAGCACTGCTTTTAGGTTCGTGTTTGTGCGCATGCGCTTATGATAAACATCCGGTTTGCGATGGGACGTGGATGGGCGCCGGATGCCACGGGATACTAGCGCTCCCGCGATCAGATGCCCACCTGTGCCGCACATTTTCCGAATACTAGTGCACTTTCCTTAGTACTTTTTCATCCACATCTTCAGCGGGATGCCACGGGTTGGCCACGGGTGCGCTAAGCTTCCCAGATGTTGCGGTGTGATCGCGCCCCGAAAATCCGTCTAACATTTGTGCCTTTTGTGTGACAAATTCTCCGTGTGACCGGGGCCTTTAGATATTTTTCTTTGGCATAATACTTCACGGTTGTTCTGCTTATTTCCACCGCCCATCCCATGATCTCTCTTTTTGGTTTGCTATCTGGAGGTTGGCAATTTCATTCAGGACAGCTTGTCCATGCTAGGGAGAAATGTTGAATTTCTCCTTACTCTGCAGCTGTCAAAAGTACAGAACCTTTGTTAAAAACAAAAACAAAAACTTCATGCCAACCACAATAGCTAGGAAGTTATGTGAATTGTGATTCTCCATGACAAAAAAGCGGGCAGCATAATTAAAGCCAGCACTTCCCCCTCTTTTCTCTCTCTCTCCCAGTGTGTTCTCCCTGGCCTGGTCCCTCAAGATCAAATCTATTTGATTTCAGAACAAAAAATAAGTCAGAATAATGCACAAGACAACAATATGCCATCTGCTTTATTATAGCGCTAACTCCATGCGAGAGCCAAAGCAGCCATTAGACAGAAAGACTGGGACCAGTCATCTTGTCAGCCCTTTTCAGCTGTGGCAGGCCTGGTGTACACAGCACTCAGAGATGGCTCTCCAGACACAGGGGAGCATTTACAACAAGGAGAAAGCCAACAGAGACATTCTGAACTGCAATTCTTAACACTGATTTTTAAAGAAAGAAACTTTTTGAAAAATCAGGATCACTTATCAGAAAGTGTCTGGCCATGCAAATGAAGCCTATGCTAAGGACGAGTGTACAGCACAAACTAAAACTGATCATATAGTTATTCCATCTCCTTGGAGAATCTGGGGAATTATAAACTGGGGGGGGAGGGCTAGTGACATCTTAAATAACTCTCAGGACCTTCAGGAGGACCTATTTTCTATTATTACATTTTAAATTCCCTAAAAAATATTTTACTCTCTCCTTCTTCCTTAGGGCTTAGGTCCTTCCCCATTTAATTTTCACAAGGGTCCTGTGAGGTAGGGTTATAGTGTGAGAGTGAGTGATTGGCTTACTGCCAGGCACCCAGTGAGCATCACGGCTGAACATGGAGCTCCTAGATAGTCCCTCCACCCAGGTACTCAACAAACCCAGAAAGGCTCAGGCAGGAAGAAGCACTTAAAATGTGCATTCACTCCAGGTATAGCAGTAGTTTTAAACTCTCCATTTTAGTTCTAGTTTACTTCATTTATACCCTGCCTTTCTCCTAGGGTTGCCAGGTTACCTCTGGCCACCGGCAGGAGATGAGGGGGTAGGGTTGCCAGATCCAGGTGAGATGTGGGAATGGGTTTTGGGGAAGAAAGGGACCTTAGTGGGGTACATTGCCATAGAATCCACCCTCCAAAGCATCTGTTTTCTCCAGGGGGGCTGATCTCTGTAGTCTGGAGATGCACTGTAATTCCAGGGGATCCCCAAGTCCCACCTGGAGGCTGGCATCCCTACTTTGTCCCCAACAGAGACCTGAAGCAGCTTACAATATTGTTCTCCCCTTCTCCATTTTATCCTCACATCTACCCTGTGAGGTAGGTTATGCTGAGAGAGAATAACTGGCCCAAGGATAACCATAGGATTGCCAGCTCTGGATTGGGAAATACCTGGAGATTTTGGGGGTGGAGCTTGGAGAGGGCCAGGTTTGGGGAGGGGAGGGACCTCAGCCGGGTACAATGCCACAGAGTCCACCCTCCAAAGCAGCCATTCTCTCCATGGGAACTGATCTCTGCCGCCTGGAGATCAGTTGTAAAAGTGGGAGATATCCAGGCCCCACCTGGAGGTTGGCAACCCTAGTTAACCAGCAAGCTTCCATGACAGGGTGGGTCTCCCAGATTCTAGTGCTCCAATAACCAGTTCAGGGATTTCAGCAACATTCCTATAAAATGGAGAGAGAATGTTTGAGAGAAAATGACATATCAATCAATCTACACAAAGGGCTTGGAGCCACATGTTTTTAAAGGGACAGCTATGCTCTCAGTACATATCTGCCCTCACACTTCACATGTGCCAAGGATCATCCCACCTCTCACTAGTCTGAAATGCAGGAGCTACACTTTCTGCCCACAACAAAAAAGTCTGCAAATAACTGCTTTATCCCCTTTTGCAAATGTCTTATTTAGTGCATTACCCCAGAACTGAATGGAAGGGAAGATATTTATGCAGTTACATAATGCAGAGACTTTTGTTGCTTCTGGAGTCACAGATAAATCCTATGAGGCTCTCCCATTCCAGAAAAGCCATTCCTTTTTGTTGAGCTAGCTGACAGACTGTTCTGCCTTCTGCCATCAGTTTCCCACTCTCTTCTTGCTTCACCCTCTGCATGGGAAGGAGCAGGGCTATTTTTGGGCAGGAACGCACAGGAACGGAGGCTGGCTCTTGAGTTGGCCAAGCCCAGCAGGAACTCATTAGCATAATAGGCCACACCCAATAGCAGAAACTCATTAGGATTGGCTACATTAGGGGTGTGTGGCCTAACATGCAAAGGAGTTCCTGCTACAAAAAAAGCCCTGGGTTTTGACAACAAACAAGGTAAACAGAATAAGAAGGAAAAGGTGGGTATGGCTGGATGACCACATTTCTGGTAACATGGGGGTGTGGCCTAATGTGCTAATAAGCGGTGCTGTCAGGGTGTGGCCTAATATGCTAATGAGTTTTGCTGTTGGGTGTGGCCTATTATGCTAATGAGTTCCTGCTGGGCTTTTTCTACAAGAAGAGCCCTGAGAAGGAGAATGCTCACAGCAGCATGCTTCTGGCTACAGTGCTCAGGAAACCCTCCGGCATGCAGGAAGTTTTTGCTGCCTGGTCCTTTGCTATCTTGCTCAGTTTAATTGCTTGGGAAGGAGAAGCCTTCAGAGGTGTGTTGAGATATTATGTGGGCAGATTTCACGTTTCCCCTGCTATGTCAAGAGGTCTGTTGCAGAGCTTTATGAATATAAAGCACTTTATAAGTTCAAATCAATGATAAAATCACAGTGGACATTGGGGCTCTAGCCTTCCTCCTCCAATTAGGAATGCAAATTAAGCAACCAGCATCTTGCTTGCTCAAAATTAATCCCACCTAGAAAAGCCATTAAATGACAAAATTGTGAATGAAACTCAGCACATCTTGCTTTTTCCCACAGACTCACTTCCTTCCTAATTTTCCTCTTGCAGCCCATGGGATCAGAACGGACGGAAATGCGGAAGCGGCAGACATCTGCGGCCCAGGAGACACCCAGCTCCACAGAGGCCCAGCCTGATGAAGGAAATCGAGGTTCCAACGCCTGCTGCTTCTGTTGGTGCTGCTGTTGCAGCTGCTCTTGGTAAACCTGCATGTCATATTCAAAGCTGCAGGGGGACACCACAGCTAGTCACCATGGGAACATAAACATGTACCCCTTTGGGTAACCCGACAAGGCAGTTACAGTGGGAAGAAAATGCAGCCTTTGCATAGCTTTCATTTGTAGTTCTCAAGGTGAAAAAGAAAAAAAAATGAAACAAGATTTAAATAGAATCAAGATTTTTTTAAAAAACAGAAAAATGAACATTCAGGCACTATGTGTTTCTCTGCTACGATATACCCTAACAGGTTAGCCATATAATTTCAGTGCCTTTTTAGTCTACTCATTTGGAGAGTATACTTCAGTAGCAGAGCAGGTGGTTTGCATACAAAATCCAGACTCAATCCCTAGCACCTTCGTGAAAACCTTGGGAACTAAAAAGAATCTGGATGGAACCTAAGGACATGAAAAGCTTCTGCACCTGAGAGAATACAGAGTACTGCCTTAGATGGCTCAAGAGTTTTGACTCAGTAGAAAGTAGCTCAAAGTTTCGATTATATGTAAAGTATACCCATTCAGCAAATATTTCAGCATTTGAAGTAAACTTTGGGAGGTCCAAGTGATCAAAATAGTTTGTGATCTCACACTGTAGTTGCTTCATCCATGGAGAGCACCAGCTATAAATACCACTTCACATGGCGCTCTATCCACAGTACCATTCAGATTACAAAGGTTAACCAACCAGCCAAGCAAATACAAAAACTGAAGTGTTGCTCTGTCATGCAGAACCAGTTGTTTTACCAGGTTTCTTCATCGTTTTGATTGTGGTGGTAGTAACTACACGACTGATCATTGCATTTAATTGCAGAAATGGACTGGCATCCAGATTAGGTTTGTTCCTCTCAACTACTGTGTATCATCACCCAGTTAGAACCTCCTTCAAATGAAAAAGAGGAAGGCTTACATAACTTTAGTTGACCAAATACATCTGTGGTGGGGTGGTTGGAACCAAAAGCCTGGGAGGAAAATCTAAAATATTGTGTCACTCAAAGGCAGGGATAGTAGAAGGACTGTGGCTTTGTTTTTAATTACTTATTTATATAGCACCATCAAGATGCACCACACTTTACAGGGTATGAGACAGATGCAAGCCCAAGTAGCTTCTGATTTAAAATGTGATATAGGGAAGCAAAGGTATGGTGGGAAGTGGAAATAAACAAGGGAAAATGTGATATTCAGTTTAGTTCTAGGTGCTTAGGCTTTGTTTCAATAGAGAAGATTAGTTATGCCAAAGGTGGATTGTGAGGAGGGAAGCAAAAGCTAATTTAGAAGTCTTGCATATGTATTGTTTACCAAGACCAAAGAATTTAGGGCAGAACAGAGAGATGATAGCTATATACATGTATATTTGGCTCACATTTTGAAATCATCTTCAAAGGAAAGCTGCTCACCACTAATCCTCTATCAGAACAAGATGTGTAGAGACATATTTGGGTCTATTTTTAACAGATTTCAGCATGGAACAGAATTAATTTCCCCGCCATGGCTGAACTAGTCCATACAGCCCTGCATCTTCTCATCACTCTGTCTTGGATATGGACAGGATCAGGTGTTATTGAACTCCAAGGTTTGATTCAGGGGCAGATTGGGACATTAAGATGTTCCAGGAGCAAGCCAAGCCAAACAGTTCTTAAACCATCACAGGGACTGCTTGGCACAGCTTGCTCCTGGCAGTCAGGCAGGTAAGTTAGAAAGCCAGTCCACACTGGGTGGGATTAATAAAGCCACTGTTGCAGTTACTGCTTAGTCACACCGGTAATGGCTGCCTATGCTGGTACAGGAGAGATAATTGACTACCCAATCCACTTGATTTCTATCTAGTGATGACTGGTTGGACAACACAAAAGGGCCCATCTTGCAATTATTCTAAGAGCATATGATTCAAGTCTGAGAGGAGAAGCCTGCATTCTTCTCCTTCCAGGGCTAATAGCAGCTGCCAGTGGTGATTTCAATCAACAAAACCATGCACAGGGAAGAGTTAAACACCCCCCTCCCTTTGATCCGAACCAGGAGCATGTGCAGGTTCTATCTTCCTTTTAAGATAGCTGGGGATAGCTATTCATCTCATCTAATTTGTCCCTATTAAATTAATTATCCATTGCAGCCTAAACTCTTCTCTGCCTTCATGATTTTCTGAAGGCAGATCTACATTCACTAGCCACAAGACAGAGGTGACTCCCCACTGCCCAAGTCGTTCCATACTACTGAGCATGCCTCAAACTAGAAAAGTCCATCTGTTGCCCCAGATGACTGGAAAATTACTGCCTTTCCCTGGCTGTGAACATGCCTATCACACACAGACATGTTCAAAGCATGCAGAGGTTACAACTTCTCTCCAGCACATAGACCAGATGCATCCTGAAGTGGCTGGACAAGGCACCTGTATATGAGTCAGGGAGGAAGTTATTTTCCAGTGAGCTCCTGATATAGCCAAGATTACCATTTCAGTGTGCAAGGATCACTGTTTTTAAATACTGTTAATGAAGCACAGGTTTTAAGTTGCAGCTGGTTCCTCGTGTCTGTTTACCTCTCCTTGGACAAAATGGAAAGAAAAACACATAATGCATTTTCACAAATGGATACTTAATTTTCAAAGTCTCTAGATTCAATAAGAAATTCACAAGCTATTTTTATCCCATTTTCTATTTAATCCTTATTTTTTAGATTCACAAGTATCATGAGACAAAAAAACCCCCAAATTGCTCAATTGGATGCTAAAATTACTCGATATGCATGATGCTCAAAATTACTGCTTCCATTGAATAGCCTGGGTCCAGGCTTTAAGCAGAACAGCCACTCGTTACCTCTAAAATAACTCTTTTATCCTCCAAATAACTCTTCTAGGAGCAAGAAATGTGAAACAAACTGCTCTATTTATAATCCCTATTTATAGAAAGTATTTCCTGAAATAACCTGCACGAATTGCAAAAAAATAAAAATAAAAATTGCAACTATAGAATTTCCAGCATTCAAAGCTCTTTGGAAAATTAACCATTTTAGGGAACTAAAGGGGGGGGAGTCTCCAGCTGGGCTTTTGTTGGTTCAAGCCACAACTTCTGCCCCATCCCTCCCATCTGCATTTTAGGTTGGATGATGCTTTTTGCTTTGCAATTATAATGAATGGCCTTTCTTGTGTACACTTCAAAATTACGTGGGCACAGCTGCCATTTGCAGAATATGCCAAACACACATTTTTAAAGGGGAAAAGGAACATGGATGTCTTGTGTTATTTTGTATGGCATTTCGCTTAGTCCTGACAGTATCAGTTTTGAATACAATGTTTTTGCCAACCAGTTCTACTTTTCTGTAAAAAGGCAGGGGTTGCTATCCATAGTCAAAATGGATACACCATTCATATAGTTCTCTAAGAGGGTGATTGTGACACAGCAGAGGGGCTTAGTATGGGAAATCCAGGGGCAAAACCCTGCTCAGATATGCAGTTCACTGGGTAGCCTTGGACAAGTCATTAGTTCACAACCTAGCCTCTCTCTACAAGAGGTGTTAGAACCATAGTCTGAGCTTCCCAAATGAGGAGCAGGGAAAACACAGAGATAAGAACACAGAGATTTATTTATTTTTGCTGTCAAGTTACAGCTGACATATGGCGACCCTGTAGAGTTCTCAAGGCAAGAGGCATTCAGAGGTGGTTTGCCATTACCTGCCTCTGTGTAGTGACTCTGGAATTCCTTGGTGGCCTCCCATCCAAATACTGACTAGAGGCGACCCTGCTTAGCAGCAGGGATCTGATGAGGTAGGACTAGATTGGTCTATCCAGGTCAGGGTGAGATTTAAATATAGGAGGATAGTCTCTAAACGTTCACTGGGATTTCATATGTTGGCATCCATGGGTTGGACCTGTGGCTGTCATAATGCCTATTTTGGCAGTTAGCATACTCATGGAGAGCTACCTTTTCCCCAGAAGCATATGCACAAGCACATTCATATAGATACAGGCAATGCTCCCTCTAAGCTGTGGAGTCTTGTGAGCAAAAATTCTACTTTGTGAGCTACTGGCATGAAAGTTGTGAGCGAGCGATTTGACTACTACATAAATTAGTTTGCTCTGGAGCCATCCTTCCTGTGCTAAAAAAAAAAATTTGTGAGCCGGAAGCTAAAAAAACTGTGAGCTAACTCACACTAACTCAGCTTAGAGGGAACACTGGATACAGGGCTCCATGTACACATCAGAGCAGACACTAGACCTTGGAATCTGCCCATATGCTTTCTCATGTAGTAAGTTGTTTTTTTGGTCAAGAACCACTATGAACCAAATGGTGCACTGCTCATATTCAGTGGGAAAAGACAAACAAATTTAAGATATCACCTAACAATTAATTACAAGTGGGGACCTGCAAGGACTTGTGGGGGAGGGCATCTCATCTTCCCTCTCCCACTATTCTCTCTTTCCCAAAAAACTTCCCTGAAAGCCCCTACAGCCTCTCCCCCCCTTCAGCTTTCTCTCTGTGAGAAAACTGCATGGTGACAACCACTGAGCTGGGCACACCTGTATGGTGGAAAATCTTCAAGGACTTGTGGGAGGGAACTCACTTTCCTCTTTATCTACCTCTCCACACTATTTTCTCTTTCTCTCCTCCTGACAACTCCCATATCCTCATTTTTCTTTGCTTCCGTCTTTCCCACACATCAACCAACCTACCTTTTAACTGCCCCCACTATCAGCTATATTTATTATTTATTTACTTAATTTATACTTGACCTCTCTCCATATTAAGGACCCAAAGAAGTTTACATTGTTCTCCTGTCCTCCATTTTATTCTCACAAAACCCATGATGTATGTTAGGCTGAGAGGGTGCAGTTAGCATCTGGGCTTCCCAGAACCTACTTATTGGCTTTCATGTGGGGGGAGGGGTGTTGAATAGTAGCAAGCAGGCAGGCCTCAGTAAGGCATGCAACTCAGGTGGTAGCAAGTTGCCTGGCAGTTGCTACCCTCAAAGGCCAAAACATGCCTTGAAAGGGCCCTGCCCTCCCTCCTTCTGCCTTTTACTGACAGAAACCAAGCCTTGAAGGCCTGCAATACTGTTATGGTTGCCTAGCAATGGCCACTGAGGCCTTAGTTTCTTAAAGCTACAGGCATTGCTTCTATTTGTTTAGTAGTTGCCAGCTTCAGGCTGGGAAATACCTGGAGATTTTGGGGGTGGAGCTTGAGGAGGGCAGGGCTTGGAAAGGGGAGGGACTTTGATGGAATATAATGCCATAGAGTCCACCTTCCAAAGCAGCCATTTTCTCCATGTGAAATCATCTCTGTCGCCTCTTGAAGAATCTTGCTAGCTGTGAATTCTGTTAGGCTGAGTGCCACGTCCTTGAGAATTTGATTGGCAAGTCCCTCTGTTTTCTAAGAGCAATATCTGATTAATATACTGAAGCTTACATTATATTATATATCAACAGATTGAAAACATTAGAATTATACATTTCTTGTATTCTGTAAAACCTGAGGAAAGCAGCAGAAATGAGTCAACAATGTTTCTCGTAGTCTTACAGTTTCCTTGCATCTTCATTTTTGTCTAGACTTCCATGTCGACTTATAATCCTGTGGGGCTAACGCTATAACTTGGGATGTTTTGTATTTAATTTACATTGTAATTATTCTGATTGTGATATAATAAACTAGCACTAAAAATACCAATATATTGGAATAGGAAAAAAGTTTAGAAGTTGATATAAGATTACATTGTTGTTATTGTTTGTTCACTACACGGTGCTTTAGTGTTATTAATTCCCACCATTTACACCGTGGTCATCTTGTTGTATTGTTGCCACCTGGAGTAAGGCAACTCCCACCAATGCATTTTTCTTTTTAGATTTCAGATTTCTTTGCAAACCAAGCTTTTTGTTCAGGCTTGTAGAAAGATCTGATGTGTCTGTTCTGACTCCAGTCTTTAGCATTAAGTATCCTTAGATCTGGCCACATTGAGAATTAAATATATTTATTTCAGTATGATCAGACTTGGTTTGTTACCTTGCAGCCTTACTGTAAGGAATCAAGATGAGAGAACAAGAGCAGCATCACATGAACACAGAACAGACACCATTCCAGATTCTGAAGAAAGGTAATAAAGCGATATAGAAGGGTTTTTGTTTTTTTTTAAAGTTTGATATATTGTGTTATCTGTAACAAAGCACCTGCAGAAAACATTTCCTGGCAGTTCTTTCCTGCCTCACCCTTTCCCCTAGCAACATCCCCAATACCTCTGAAAAGCTTATGCAATCAGCTGTGTCTCCTATGTGGGTAAGAAGTCATGCAGCCTTGAGGGGCTGCAGTAAGATAGAGAAGCGAGGTGAAATCATTCCTACCTTGCTCTTTCTGCAACAGAAGCAGGGGTCATTTCGTAGAAAAAGAGGTGCAGGAGCTCATTCGCATAACTCATTAGCATAACTTATTTGCATATGCCACACCCCCTGACATCACTGGAAGGCAACACCCACCGCTCAGGCTCCACTGGACTGTTTTGGATTGCTAGCTATTGGGAGGGGGGGATGTGCATATCTGTCCTTGCAGAGGAGGGAGAGCTTGTACCTGAATAAAACTTGGTCTTAAAGGTGCCACTGGACTGTTTTGGACGGGGGGGGGGAGCTCTGCAACTTACCTGGCTGCTTCTTGCTCTGACTGAGGGCTGGGGGTGGGACTTGTTGCATGTGCCCGCCCCCTGGGCTCTTTACTGCCGGAGCTCCACTCCTGTGCGCTCCTGCAGGAAATGACCCCTGAACAGAAGCACCACTGGTTGATTAAAGTGGTTCTCTCTCCTCACTGCAGCTTCCCAAGCTACATGTCTTTCTGTGCATGTGTTCATCTACATCCAATCACTTGACCTGTAACTCTGCCAAGTGATAAGAATTTTTTACTTACTGGCTGGAGATTTCCGAGCATATATAGATGGTGTGGCAAGATTCCCTCAACATTCTATCAAATTTTAACTTCATAATGCTATCTGCTTCTTCCTCCTGCTGCAGCTCAACTCCTACTCTGGAAGATGTTAACACCTGGGCTCAATCATTTGACAAATTAATGAGGACACCAGCAGGAAGAAATGCTTTCAGGGAGTTCCTCCGAACAGAATTCAGTGAAGAAAATATGCTTTTCTGGATGGCCTGTGAGGAACTAAAGCGAGAATCCAACAAAAAACAAATTGAAGAGAAAGCAAGGCTAATATATGAAGACTATATTTCGATCCTTTCTCCAAAAGAGGTTTGTAACCCTCCTCAAAACTGACTGAAACTAAGTGACTGAAATAAAATATTAAATAGTATATCATTAACAGAAACATGGAAAAAATAATGTAACCTATGAAGAGAACACTTAGAGTAATGTGCTTTAAAGTTTTTCGCCCTCGTGCAGTAGCTCCTTCTTCTGGGGAATGCAGATAGAAGAGGCAAAATATCATTGGAGAACAAATGTACTTGATGCTTGAGTGTTGCAGTTAAGGGCCCGACTTGTCCAGAAGGACAGTGCTGAGGTGGGCAAATGGACAGGATCATTTCAGACTGCTTTTGGTGTGGGATTATACATTTCAAAGCTCTCCAAAATTAATGACATCTCCTGTAAGTGGAAAGAATGTCAAAGACTGCTAGTTCTCCCAGATGAGACAATTTATTGCACTGATTTTCACAATGGAAAATATTAAAAATGTGACTGCCCTCTCTAAAGCCATATAGCCTAGAAGTGACACAGCCTATTTTATCACCTCATTCTGTACAGATCAAGCCCAAGACAGGTTAATATGTTTTGTGGGGTAGGGGTTGAAGAGAATTCTTGCATTCTCGTTAGAATCATATAATCATAGAGTTGGAAGGGACCTCCAGGGTAATCTAGTCCAACCACCTGCACAATGCAAGAAATTCACAAATACCTCCCCCCCACCTCCCGTGACCCCTGCTCCATGCCCAGAAATGGGCAAAAAAACCCAAAACCCCTCCAGGATTCCCGGCCAGGCTGGCCTGGAGAACAATTGCTTCCTGACCCCAAAGGGGCAATCAGCATTTCCCTGGGCATGTAAGAAAGGGCAATGAGACCTAAGCACTGATGCAAAACCTCCTGCTCTCCCTCTCATGATCTGCCTAAGTTCACAGAATCAGGATTGCTGTCAGATGGCCATCTAGCCTCTGTTTGAAAACCTCCAAAGGAGGAGAGCCCACCACCTCCCAAGGAAGCCTGTTCCACTGAGGAACCCAGAAAACAACTCCACACCATCCTCTATATAACAACCCTTCAAGAACTTGAAGATGGTTATCATATCACCTCTCAGTTGTCTCCTCTCCAGGCTAAACATACTCAGCTCCTTCAACCTTTCCTCATAGGACTTGGTCTCACCATATTCATTGCCCTTCTCTGGACACGGTCCAGCTTGTCTGTAACCTTCCTAAATTGTGATGCTCAAAACTGAACACAATACTCTAGGTGAGGTCTAACCAGAGCAGAGTAAAGAGATACCATCACTTCACACGATCTGGACACTATACAGCCCAAAATGGCATTTGCCTTTTTAGTTACCACATCACATTGCTGACTCATGTTTAGTGTATGGTCTACTATGACCCCTAAATCCTTTTCTCACATACTACTGCCATGACAAGTCTCCCCCATCCTATAATTATGCATTTGATTTTTCCTATCTAAATGCAAAACTTTATATTTATCCCCACTGAAATTCATTTTTTTTTGTTTTAGCCCAGTTTTCTAGCCTGTCAGGATCATCCTGTATGTATCCTGACTCTGTCTTCTACCATATTTGATACCCCTCCAAGTTTTGTGTCATCTACAAATTTAATAAGTTTTCCCTCTCTTCCTTCATCCAAATCATTTATAAAGATGTTGAACAAAACAGGTCCCAGGACAGATCCCTGATCTTGATAGCCACAGATCTTGTGGCTATCAAAGTCTCGCCATATAATAAACCGACATGGAGTGATTTTTATCTTGTCACAGTTAAAGAAATGGAAAGTCTAAGAAGCCTATTAAAACAGTGTTTGTAGTGTCTCCATTTTTCTCCAAAAGGACCTCTTTCATGTGATAGTTTCATAAACAGCATCTATGTTCCTCTGCTTGAAATATAGTTTCTTTACAAACTTGAAGTCCGCCAAGTTTGACACAGATCCCCATCTCGTGTACTGCAATTTGCTAAGCACAAGGCAGCCTCCTGTTTTTTGAGATGCAAGCAGCCAATAAAAACAGGAACTTGAGATCTAAATTCCGCCCCTGAGGTTTTGCTCATGGGGGTGGGGGAGAGGACTGCTTCCTTTCAGCAGCAGCCCCTGTGCTCTCCAAAAAGCCCATGTGAAGGGCAGAATAGCCTTCAAAACAGCATCCTATGAGGTAAGACTGGCTATTGCCAGAAAAAAAATCAGCAGTCTTCTTGTGCATGCATGCACTACTTTGCAACTGCTTCTCTGGCTTCCAGGCAGAAGGTATATCTAGTTCCCATTCACCTGCCATAAGGAGCTGGTGGGCTGCACTTGGCTCGATTGGTCACAATCTATATCAGTCTGATTGAAAACTATTTTGCCACATAACCACAAAAGAGGAACTTTTCCTTCCTACTGTGAAAAAATGTATAGGTCAAAAACATGATCACAATGTCTTTTAGGTTTCTGTGGTAGAAGATCTGTGACCTCAGATCTGGGAACCAATTGCTTCTTGCTAAGATCTGTTGAGGCATTGGGTTTTTATACTGATATTGTTTTTAGATAGATTTTTAAATATATTTGTCAATTTGTTACATTATGAATTTTATGATGGAACTCACCCTGAGCCCGCTTGCGGGGAGGGCAGGATACAAGTTGAACCAAATAAATAAATAAATAATAAACAAACAACTGAAATGAGTAAAAAAAGTGTACATGTATTCAGTGCTACCAACCCCCCAACCAGTGTTCCCTCTAAGCTGAGTTAGTGTGAGCTAGCTCACAGTTTTTTAGCCTCTGGCTCACACATTTTTGTCTTAGCTCAGGAAGGATGGCTCCAGAGTGAACTATTTTATGCAGGTGCCAAATGGCTCGCTCACAATTTTAACGCCAGTGGCTCACAAAGTAGAATTTTTGCTCATGAGACTCCACAGCTTAGCGGGAACATTGCGCCCCAACCCCCACTTTTACAGTAGGATAGAAAGGGATGTTATTGTACACTCACAAATATTTTCTTTATTCACAGGTCAGCTTGGACTCTAGAGTAAGAGAAGTTATCAACCGGAATATGCTGGAACCATCACAACATACTTTTGATGATGCTCAACTCCAGATTTACACTTTAATGCTCAGAGACTCCTACCCGCGGTTTATGAACTCTGCTGTTTATAAGGACTTAGTTCAGTCAGTCTCTGAGAAGTCTGCTGAAGCATAGAAATTAATGTATTTTACACACACATGGACACAAATGATACTTTGGACTATCATTCCCAAATGCAGAATTTAGAATTGATGAGTTCATTACTTGAAAATAACTCAGGCAAATTGTCAAATATGTTCTAAATATGGAAGTCTCCAGAGCCACTAGCTATTTGCAACTTCTTGTCTAGGACGTGAGATGTGGTGGCAGAGAATATGGAGCACAAAAAAAAAATCACACATGCTTAAAAATCATACTTGGGGACCATTTTAATATCCGTTAAAACTAATCACAAAGAAAACCGGGATGATGGGAGCTGTCTCATCACTCAGCATTCAAACCACATGTTGTACTTCAACTGTGAGGACACAGAACACGTGGGATCCGGCTTATGCTGGTGCACAGATTCACCTTTAACTGTATTACGCCATGTCTGCATTCAAGCCATCAGAAAATAACTGGGCAGATATCACAACAAATGTATGTAAGTGCAGCATGTTCAATGGGGTAGTGGACTTGTTTCCCTTAAACTGTAATCTGTCTCCCCACTTCCAGCATTCATAACCAATTTTAGAGACTGAGCCTTACTGATTCCAGTCAATGGGACTTTGCCTTCAATACAGAGTGAATCACACACTTACTTGGACATGAGCTGAATGTTAAAGGTCAGCAAGGCAATGTAAACAATTTTTCAAATAAACAGATGAAAGGCACTGGTTGGAATAATACTGCCTGTAAAGTGTTGTTTTTTTTACTAGGATGCATTTTTAAAACGGCATCGTTAATATATCTAGACAAATAAACCAACTTACTTTGATAAGGGAAAGGCGTTGGGAATTCTCTGCCTTTAATAAGGCACACACACACCCCGCCGCCTTCTCTTCAGCTTCTTTGTATTACTCAGCCTTACCTGCAAGTATTGTTCTGGGTTGGTGCTCAAGCTACCATTATTCTGTATATGAAGATTTGAATAGCATCATTTTAACCAAATTAAGAGAGGAATTAAATTTCTCTCTCTCAGTACAGCTAGGCTAAGGACATTAAGTATTCTCTTGTTTTACCAGCAAATGATAAATTTCCTAAACATACACTCTGACTCAGAAGATATATTTGCATTGGTCTTTACCCAATCACATATTCCAAAGACCTGCTTTCTTAGGAGGGGTGGCAGTTTCCAACAATTCACCCTTCCCACCGTAGACCACCAACCTTGCTGTTTCTGAAGTCCACTTGCCTTAAAAAAAATGGAACTGCATGGTTAGATACATGTCACTGCAAAGACCCTTAATGGGACAGTTTTTATCTACAAGTGAACAGATAAACCATTATTCGTTTCTAAGCAGAAGATAAATTCTAAAGAGGTCACAGAGGTCAAGACTGCTTGCAAAGTAGACACACTGATTTCGAAACCTCAGCCCAGGGACCTGCAAGAAACTTGCAGAAGCGGCTATCTTATTCTCCCACCTCTGCTTCTTCCCCTCTCCCCCTACTTCTCTCAGACTTTTTCCTTCCTGCCACCCCTTTCTCTCTCTCTCTCTCTCTCTCTCTCTCTCATCCCTCCATACCTTGCACTTCCTTTCTGCCACCACCCCATCACTCTTTCTGCTCCTGTCACTCTCCCAGCTTCCCACTTACTCTCCCCCCCACAGCAGCAGTGGCAGAAGCTGCTCTCCAGGAATCACAACAGATTGCCCAAGTAGAGAGATCAGCTCCTCTTAGGGTTGCCAGCTCTATGTTGGGAAATTCCTGGAAATTTGGGGGTGTAGCCTTGGAAGGATGAGGTTTGAGCTTGGAAGTGACCTCAGCAGGGAATAATACTATAAACTCCACCATTTAAAGCAGCCATCTTCTCTGGGAGAACTGATCTCTGTCATCTGGAGATCAGTTGTAATTTCAGGAGCTTTCCAA